GTAAAGTATATTTCAGCTGGTTTTTGTGTATTTCTGTACATTTTATGTGCCTCGTATGACTCATGCCGGAGCAGGCAGTTGTTATGTAATCCCCTTCTCCGTGTCCCCCGCAGTCCGAGTCCATGGTGCTGGAGACTGCGGAGAACGTGAACAACGGGAACCCCTCCCCCTTGGAGGCGCTGCTGGCCGGGGCCGAGGGCTTCCCCCCGATGCTGGACATCCCACCCGACGCAGACGACGAGACCATGGTGGAGCTGGCCATCGCCCTCAGTCTCCAGCAGGACCAGCAAGGTCGGGGTGCCGGATAGTCGCAGTGACCCTCCCTCGCCTTCCCTAGAGACCCAGCTATGTGGTCAAACTCCTCTTTTGAGCCTATTCCTCCTACCTAGGCTCTGCATGTTCTCCCTTATAATGCATGGACTCATAGTTCTCCCGAGACTCTGCTGTGTCCTGCGCTCACTGTCGTCCCCACGCCGGCCTTCCTGCTATGTGCTCAGGCTGCTGTTTCTCTTGTCCTCTCATACAGGAAGCAGTAGCAGTGCCCTAGGCCTGCAGAGCCTGGGCCTCTCCGGTCAGGCGCCCAGCTCCTCCTCCCTGGACGCCGGGACCCTTTCGGACACCACTGCCTCAGGTAATCACCCTCGACTCCCCTCTGCGTTTGGCCAGCCTGCTCGCCGCTTTTGATCACACGCGTGTCTGGATTTTCCGTGTTGCGTGCGCACATGGGTTTTGAGACGCTCCGGTTTAGCCCATGCTTGGGGGGGGTGGTACGGGGGCGAAGGTGACGCAGCCCAATGCAGACGCCAGCTGTCTTTGTCCTGTGACAGCCCTGGTTATGCTTTCAGCTCCAGCCTCGGATGACGAGGGCAGCACGGCGGCCACCGACGGCTCCACCTTGCGCACGTCGCCGGCCGAGCACGGGGGCAGCGTGGGCTCTGAGAGCGGGGGCAGCGCAGTCGACTCAGTGGCTGGGGAGCACAGCGGTAAGGAGGCTCCAGGCAAGGCGGGGGGGGACAGGGCCGGACCTTCTTTCCATTAGCCAGTCATGTGGCACTCATGACAAACCGCATCATCTATTACCTGTTAAATGCATCGCAAAGCTCTCTGCAAAGCCCTCTTAGGGCCGGATCAGTCTTACCTCAGGGGGTTCGGTCTGTAGTTATTAAAATGATATGACAGGCTGATTTGGACGGAATAAGAAATGTGTAGTTTCCCAGTGTAGTATCAAAGATATTGGAAATAAAACTAATCCCGTCCAGATGTAAATGTCACAGTTATTGCATCTCAAAAGCCAATAACAGCAGAATTTTCAGTTTTGGGTGACCTGTCCTCTTAATTTACTAATCACACACAGTCAAAACTTTTGCCTCCCAACCACACAGTAGCTTACAGATTGAAATGCGGTATTGACATACAGAAGATAATTTGGTCCTGAATTTTTTCTCTGGAGGCTTGTAATAATTATAGACATATCAGTTTCAGGCCGTATTAAAATTACAGGCCTCCTCTGTAATTGCATCAGTTACATTTTGTCCCCAGGTAACACTAATCCTGCCCCAAAACGGCTTACATGTGAAAACACTCACCCGATGGTGTGAGTGTGAGTGTGAGTGTGCATCCCGGCCCGGCTTTCTGTTCCATGCCTGTGTGTGGCTATGCTAACCTCCCCCCCCCCCCCCCACCCCGCCCTGTCTGCAGTCTCAGGCCGCAGCAGCGCCTACGGCGACGGCACCACCGAAGGTCACCCACCTGGGCCCGGCAGCATCAGCTCCAGCACTGGCGCTATCAGTACCACCACAGCCCAGCAGGAGGGCGAGGGGTCCGAGGGGGAGGGCGAGACGGAGGGTGACATCCACACCAGTAACCGGTACGTCAGGGGCTGCAATGCTCTTACTGTTTTACCTTCACACAGGTTGGGGGGGTTACTATTAAACTGTCTATCCAGTACGGTTGTCTGGCCGTACAAACGTCGGTCTTTTCTCAAATGTAATGGGAGTGAATGGCATTTTTCTGTGGTGATTAAAGCACCAAAACATACATTGGAATAATCCACAGCAGCGTCTCTGACCAGAAATCGTGACCCGGTTTCTAAAGACAATCCACAGACTTTGTAGTGAGCAGTTTAATGCAGGAACGATTTTCTACTACCGAACTCCACACAACAATCGTATCACTGTGGAGAAGATGCGAGCACAAGCTCCGCCGCGCTTGGTGTGTGGAGTTCGGTGGATGAAAATAGTTCCTACATGATCCACAGACTTTGTAGCGTTATTGTTTGAGTCACTCAGAAGGGGGGGGGGGGGTTTCCACATGCTATTAATGCTTTATATCACACAGATGATGCTGTGGGGGTTTTACTGTCACTTTAGTTATGTTTCCCGTATCTGAGCATCTGCTCCCCCCCCCCACAGGCTGCACATGGTCCGCTTGATGCTGCTTGAGCGTCTGCTCCAACACCTGCCCCAGCTACACACTGTGGGCGGCGTCCGCGCCATCCCCTACATGCAAGTGGTGCTCATGCTTACTGCCGACCTGGACGGAGATGACGAGAAGGACAAGGGTGCTCTGGACGACCTGCTGGCCCAGCTCATCGCTGAGCTCGGCATGAACAAGAAGGTGGGTGACCCCTACTGCAGAGTCACTGCCAGTGCAGTCACATCTACATGGTTGCATGTGGGTTTATCGTTTTCTCTAATCTGGACCTTCAGGACGTCTCCAAGAAGAATGAGCGCAGCACCATGAATGAGGTCCATTTGGTCATCATGAGACTGCTGAGTGTCTTCATGTCACGCACCAAGTCTGGGTCAAAGTCGTCCTCAGAGGTACATGGAGCCCCCTGCTGTAGCCTGCAACACTGGAGTGTGGTACAGAGTGACAAACCACCTTCGTACACTGTGACACTTGGCACTCACCTCCTAGCTGCAATTAGGAGGAGATGCTGTCCTCCTGGCTATCTTCAGGAGGGTATACTCTCCTCTTGGCTGCTTTCAAGAGTATACCCTCTCCTTCTGGCTACCTTCAGGAGACACTGTCTTCCTGTCTATCTTCAAGAGAGTACACTCTCTTCCTGGCTGCTTTCAGGAGGAGACTCTCTTCCTGGTTGTGTTTTGGAGGAGGCACTCTCCTCCTGACTACCTCCAAGAAGAGACACTCTCCTCCTGATTACCTTCAGGAGGAGAGGAGATGCTGTCCTCCTGGCTCCCGCCAAGAGGAGGCGCCCCCCTCTTGATTGCCTCCAAGAGGAGACGCCGTCCCCCTGGCTCCCTCTAAGAGGAGACGCCCTCCTCCTGGCTCCCTCTAAGAGGAGACGCCGTCCCCCTGGCTCCCTCTAA